ATAATGTTCCCAAACAGCCTGGGCACCGTGCACACAGAGAGGGAGCTGCAACTGAACAGAGGTTTTCCTGTGCCCATATCATGCCTTGAGGGCCTTTCGGCTTTCTCATTACGTCAGAGCTAGCAAGGGCAGGTCGGAGGGGGCGGCTCAGGGTCTGAGCTGCAGGTTTGAACCACAAGGTGGCTTGCCCCATGGGCTGGACAGCCTGGGGCTAGGCCAACCTGAGTCCAGAATGAGCCCCCCACCCTGAGGGGAATCGGGCACTTGGCCATTAAGAGAAGCGGGTGGCTGCAGTAATGAGGGAGAGGTGATGAAGCCCAGGAGGGAGGTTCTTATCCAGGCAGAAGCTCAGCCCAAGAATGAGAGCTGGGGGTGGAGGCCGGGGGACTCCAAGCTGAGCGAGGACAAGGTCTGCAGGCAGAAGCCCTGGGAGAGACCCTGACTAAGCAAGGAGGAGACGGAAGAAGAAGCTGAGAGTCTGGGTAGAAAGGGGCCTGGGCGAACTGCAGAACAGGTGGAGGAATCATAGAATCATAGAATCTCAGGGTTGGAAGGGACCTCAGGAGGTATCTAGTCCAACCCCCTGCTCAAAGCAGGACCAACCCCAACTAAATCATCCCAGCCAGGGCTTTGTCAAGCCGGGCCTTAAAAACCTCCAAGGAAGGAGATTCCACCACCTCCCTAGGTAACCCGTTCCAGTGCTTCACCACCCTCCTAGTGACATAGTGTTTCCTAATATCCATCCTCGACCTCCCCCACTGCAACTTGAGACCATTGCTCCTTGTTCTGTCATCTGCCACCACTGAGAACAGTCTAGATCCATCCTCTTTGGAACCCCCCTTCAGGTAGTTGAAAGCAGCTATCAAATCCCCCCTCATTCTCTTCTGCAGACTAAACAATCCCAGTTCCCTCAGCCTCTCCTCATAAGTCATGTGCTCCAGACCCCTAATCATTTTCGTTGCCCTCTGCTGGACTCTCTCCGATTTGTCCACACCCTTTCTGTAGTGTGGGGACCAAAACTGGACGCAATACTCCAGATGTGGCTTCACCAATGCCGAATAGAGGGGAATAACACTTTCCTTAATCTGCTGGCAATGCTCCTACTAATGCAGCCCAATATGTCGTTAGCCTTCTTGGCAACAAGGGCACACTGCTGACTCATATCCAGCTTCTTGTCCACTGTAACCCCCAGGTCCTTTTCTGCAGAACTGCTGCTTAGCCATTCGGTCCCTAGTCTGTAGCAGTGCATGGGATTCTTCCGTCCTAAGTGCAGGACTCTGCACTTGTCCTTGTTGAACCTCATCAGATTTCTTTTGGCCCAATCCTCTAATTTGTCTAGGTCACTCTGGACCCTATCCCTACCCCCCAGCGTATCTACCTCTCTCCCCAGCTTACTGTCATCCGCAAGGGATGGAGGAGCGGAGCTATCTGTTCAGTAGAGGGACCCAGAGTAGATGGTGAGCCTGAAGGGGAGGACATGAGATGGTGACCCAACTGGGGGGGCTGAGTCACCAGAAGTCACAGCACCAGAGGAACCGTCCATGGGGCAGCCCTACAGAAGGGACAGGGCTGCCATGCCATGCCTGGCCATGAGGGGGTGGCTAGCGGGGAGTGGACTCGTTTACCGTTGGCTAGCGGTTGTCTCCCACCCCAGAGTTGGCTGCGTTTCAGTGGTGCTGTGCATATGTAGCTCCGGAGTGGTGTTGAGATGGAAGGTTCTATGGGGCGAATTACCAGAGGTGCTGAGCTCCCAAACTCCCATTGAAACTGACTCCAAGTGGAATCGGGACCTGTTTGAAAATCAGGCCCTAGGTGCCTTTAAAGTGTCGTTAACGGAACAGTCCGACGGTGGCAGGTTACAGCTCACCTGCCTCAGGGCATAAGATCACAACCAGTTCAGATCAGGAAGAACTTCTCCCCACTCTGACAGGGCTGCCCTCCTTACTGGTATCTCCCATGTAGCCCCGTCACTACCAAAGATCCAATACCAGACTAGATGGGACC